TCCCTGTAAGCCTGTGTCCGTCTGTTGATGCCTTCAAGACTTAAGACTGGAGTCCTGAAAAGGGCTGAGTCAGCAGCTAGCAGGAGTGTGCCTTAAAGCCTTAAATTACATGTTAATGCGGTGATGGAGAAGCATCTTATGGCCTGAGGTACAGGATGGGGAGCCAGGAGACCTGGAGTATTTTTCTGGCTTCTCCACTGACTTTATTCAATAGGTTTTTAATGTTCTGTCTTGGATTCTTTTGAATGGGGAGACCAAAATATAGACTTTTAGGATTACGTCATTATTAAATCTGGAGGCTATTAAAGAGAGGGTGTGAGGGAAGGAATGAGCCCTGCAGTAAAGGGAATAGCCAGCACAAACCAAACATCCTGCAAACCTAAGCCTAGATTTGTTCTTAGGAAGTTCAGCATGTGCAGCTTGCTTGGAGACTTGGGGAAAAAAATGAGTCCAAATCTTGGTCACAGCAGCAGAGGAGTGGGTTTACTTAAATACTTTCCTTATTAAATTTTGTTGTTGTGGCTTATAATGATGCTGCCACACACGTGTGTGCGCAGTTGACTCTTGTCTGATACTGTCCATGTTTGCTTCTTTAAATGCTTTTGAGTGAGTCTGTGGCTGAATCGTCAGCGTTCTCATTGGAGAGCAGTGATCGCTTTCTTTGCTGCTGGTGCAGTAAAATTAACGTCTTGTAGCTAAGGAGACTTCAGGAGGAGCCAGGAAAGAATAAATCCGGGACTCATGTGGCTGTTGTGCTGTGGAGTGAAAGAAGTGGTGTAAAATTTTCTGTGCTGCTTTATCAGTTCTCCAGACCGATCCTGTGTAACCGCTTGTCTTGCCTCCCAGTGAAAGCCAACCCGGAGGGTACGGATGGGTGCCTCGGCTAGAAGATGCCCGAGCCTCTCCAGTGCCATAACTCCTCGTTGTGCCTCCTGGCCGATCTTGATAGGAGGCAGAAAGCTGAGAGCCCTTTTCAGTACTGGGCGGCTTCCCTGGATGCTGCTGGGCACGCCGGGCTCCTGAAGTTTCCCCATTGTACCTGGGCTGCTTGTGGAAACACTGAAATATGCCTGTGTTCAAATTCCACTGGATTCTGCTTTTCCTGACATCGTGACTTAGTCTGAATAGTTTCTCTTAAGCACCTCAATAAACAAGTCCTCTGGGTATGGAAGGTTTTATTTCTGGGGCGATGCAAACACTGTGAAGGCTTTGTCTCTTAATGTTTGCATGTGTAACTGTTTTGAAGGGGATGGTAATATGACCTGAAGGAAAAGCAGGCTGGTTGCTAGTACACACTGCAGTGTTGTCTCCTGAAGCATGCAGGATTGCTGCTGTTCTGATCTTACGGAGGATTCCTCCAGGATTCGCTGCCTCAGGTGGAATAGGACTAGAAGGGAGATTTCTGAATGCTTTTCCAGTACCTTCCCCTGGGCCCTCGAGGGACCCCTCCTGATCCTTGCAGGATGCTGACAAAGAGGAGATACGATGCTGTATGACCTGAGCACAAAACGTGTGTGCCCCGAGTCGTTTTCCTTGGCGAATGGGACTGTGTTCACACAGGCTTGTTAAAACTCCTTTTTTTTTTCTAGTCACGCTTCTCTCTGTGGAGCAGGGGGCGCTCAGGCAACCTTATCGTTCCTCAACAGGTTTTCTTCAGTTCTATGGTAAACTGTGGGTTTTCTTAGTCCTGCCTGACTCTGAAGGCTCTAAGCCTTCGGGGAACAAAAGCAAACCCCCCTGCAGTTGCCTTTTGGAGCCTTGGGGCTCCTGGGGTGTCTGACTCAGCAAGGCTTTGCCAAGAGTGAAAATCACCCCTCCTGTATCTACTGTAATCTAAATTAGTATCTCCCTGACTAATCTTGATATAAATTAAAGTAACCTGGAAGTCTGTTGTGACCCTCCCCTCCCCTCCAGCTGCTCATGGACCATGAGGTCTCCCGGTGCTGTGACTTTTTGAAAGGCTCTGGCATCTCGCAGTGGTCTGTCTGCTTTATTAATTAACACTTCAGGGAGTGCTGCTCTCAGCTGGTAACTATTACATCCTGCCTCTGAATGGTTTCCCCAAATTGTTGTGTCTTTTGGCTGAAGTCCTTCAGTAAAATGACTCAAGAGCTTTGGTTTGAATAGAAAGCAGTCCTGGAAACTGGTGTTGCACAGCTTTTAGCTATTGCTTGGCCTCTGATTGCGAAAGACCCCTGTTAACCTGAGCGCAGAGCTGACCGCTGGCCTCTGTTTGCCTTGGCACAAGAGGGACGAGCGAAACATGCTGACCGGCTGGTGACGCGCAGTTTGTCAGTCCTTTTCTCCTGTAAAATATTCTTATTCGCCTTACTATTGAGCTTTCTGGAGGGTCATGAAACAAAACCGTAACTGAGAAGGGAATCTGGCATGTTCTGTTAACTACACTGATGTGCCTTCTAATCCCTTGAGAGCTAGAGGTCCTTCAGGCCTTGGCTGTAAGGCTACTCACCGCGCATTATCTGCCTTTGCCTTCTCGGTTGTCCTTCATGAGGCCGCCTGCTACACAGCAAGACTATCCAGGCGCTTCAGAAGGTCCCAGCAGCGTACAGAGCACTGCCCTCTTGCACGTGTGGGACAGCCATGGGAAAGCTGTAATGACTTGTTTAGAAACCTGACTGTGTAGCTTTCAGCTAAGTCAGGGCCCTGCTACCCCTCATTTTAGTTTCTGGAAAGAGATTTTATTTTTTTTTTCAGTCCAACTTAGTTTTTGATTAAAATTGGCTGAGGCTTTTAAAATCTGATTCATGCAGTAGCAAGAAACAACAGCCACTTAAAATGAAGTAGGTCAAACCAGATGTCAAAAGAAGATGAAAACTGAAAACCAGATTATTATTTTTTTTTTCCTGAAGACCACTAGGCTTGTGGTTGTGCTAGGCTTGAAGTTAGACGCCCCCTCTTCGGTATTTGTACGTATAACTCACATATGTTATTCTTCTCTGTTATGATCTGACTAAGGGGGTTATTTGAATTTTTTTATACTGTTCATGACAATTGCTCTGCCCATGTGTTTATCCTCTGGGCTAAAAACCATCTTGTATCCATGAGAAACATTGTAAGAGGTTTCTTTTGAAATGAGTGCTAGTAGGTATTGAAGTCAGGAATGTCTGACTAGTACTAATGTGCCTTGACTCAAGAGCCTTTTATTTTTACAGAACATATGTATCCTGCCCCATCGACTGCATTTGCTTTGGGAAATCCCCTTTGTTTGCTGCTGGAGGGGAGCAGCCTTGTGAAAGCAGTTGTATTTCCTTCTTCTCTTCCTCTCCAACTCCCTCTGACATGGGGCAGGACTTAATTTTATTCCTCTCTTTCAGCCTGGCCTCCTGACCTACAAAAAATTGAAAAATACCTTGTTTCTGTAGCAGTATTTTGCTGAATACCTGATGAAAATTTACAAACCTCAGTCTCGTGAAGCCAATGTGAAAGTACGTGGCTCCTTGAAACCGAATGTTTATTTTCCAGTAATTTTTTTCCCATATGTTTCCCCCCCACCCTGCCCCGATTTAGTCAGACCTGGTGTAAATCTCCCCTTTTCCTGTTTCCTCCCCTGATGTCCAGCACTAGACTTCTAACCCACGTGCTTTCTGTTCCATTTGTCTGTTCCTTAGGCAGGTGCCTTTCACCCCCAGGTCTCAAAGCACTTGATCACCAGCCCAGTTTAATACAAGGGGAAATTAAGGCACAGCCCTGGAAGTGACCTGCCTGATGTCTCCTGAATTTCAGTTGCCTGGGATTTCTGGTACAACTTCTCATGAAGCAGCTTGAAAGGCTGGTTACTGTATTTCCCTGGGCTTCAGATGAGTATGTGATCTGCTGGTCATGTTTTAGGGGTAGCTGAGACCTAGCAAAAATACAGGAGGATTTTAGCTTCTAGACATCTGGTTTTGGAGCCAAGTCTTTCCCCTTCTCCCTCCCCTTTGGTAGTTGCCAGGAAATAATGGAACTTTAAAGGGCTGGGGAGCTTTTTCCCACTGCGCTCTGGCATTGCTTCATTTGGAAACTATTCAATCGTCAACCCCCACGTGTGCTGCTTGACCACTCCATGTGCTGGGTGCCTGAATGAAGACTGGGGAGTACGTGAGCGGGAGGTGGGCAGAAAAGGACCGGGATTTAAACTCTGCACGGCATCTAGATGAAATTCCTCTAATGAGTCAACAAGTTGCTGGTTCATACCTTAAATGACTAGCTTGTTTAAGGGTGTAGCACTTGTATGACAAGTAAGACCTTATCCAGACTTAGCAACCAAAAACTGCAGACCATTAGCCACTACTCCATCAGACAGACAAGGTTAGGCAAGGCTACTGCAAAGTGCCTGTGTACAGTAACATAGATTGATTCTCTACAGATGAAACTGGTTGTGACAGACATAAGTCTTCTGTCGTTGTATTGGGAAAACAGACTTCAATATAAGTACCTCACTTCTGCCATATTAGAATACATTTCGTTACCCTTCTGGTTTTCCGCTGCTTAAGTGATGGTTTTGGCTTCTTTATTGAAGGGGGTACGGGAGAAAAGTTGTTCAGTTCTGCCCTTGTAGGATTTGAACCAAGGTTTGCTGCAGCTTCCTGGAGCCACTGACCTACTGGATTTGCGGAGAAATAGGCAAATCGATTGCTAGCACTTGCAACCTGTAGAATTTTGTCCTGAGCAATGGTATTTTCCAGCTGAAACTATTTGGCAAGTTGACCTAAACTTACAAATGGTTTTAATGTGGGGTTGTGGGGTTTTTTTCAGTTTGTTCATCCACCACACAAGACCTAATTTACTTGACTTTGTTTTTTACAGGCAGCATTGGACGTAGTCTCTTCCATAGCTTTATTCCCTGCTGAAACAAGAGATACAAAGTCCATGTCATCACCAAGCCTTACTCAAACCTTTTTTTTTTTTATTTCATTCCAGGACAGCCACTCAGTACCTACCTGCACTGATTGGCAGCTGCTAGCACAGGAACTGGCTCTTGAGAACTGTGAGCACTGAAAATGGAAAGATTCCTGAGTTTTACCCATAACCACTGTTTCATCATGCTGTTCTTCATCTCCCTGAGCCCGGTGGGCCTTGCCCAGTATGAACACTGGCCCTACCTCCCCGGTTACCCTGAGCCACCCCCCCAAGTGTACCAACCCCCCCAGAGACCGGCAAATGTCCCCAAGATCCAGCTGCGGCTTGCAGGGCAGAAGAGGAAGCACAACGAAGGCAGAGTGGAGGTGTTTTACAGCGGCGAGTGGGGCACGGTGTGCGACGATGACTTCTCCATCCACGCTGCGCACGTGGTCTGCAGGGAGCTGGGCTACGTGGAGGCAGTGTCTTGGCTACCCAGCTCGAAGTACGGAAAAGGAGAAGGTAAGGTAACTCCGGAGCAGGGGTGTTGTACTAGCTGCGTCTCCAACCCCCAATGATTCTTGACCTGTCAATCCAATTGAAGATGTAAGGCTATTTCCTACCAATGTGACTGAAATAGCTTCCAGGTGAAGCAGTGCCTCTTTAAATCAGGGTCCCATTGGATTAACCAGTTTAAGTAATAGGTGTTTGCTTGTTTTGACGGCAACAAGTGGTGTGTGAACTCCGGCAGGGGATGCTGGGGTGCAGCTGGCGGTGGATGAGGGTAGGAGGCTCTTCAGCAGCCAGCATGACTACTCGAAAGGGAAGCTGCACCCACAAGTGTGACGTGGAGATGGTCCATTTCTGTCCTTGCGCTTCCATTGCCTTGCAGTGAGTCAAACAGGGCCTCCAAACACTCCTTCCCCCTATTCTTTCTTTTTCCTCTGAACTGTTGAGGCTCTAAGCAGACAAGTCTTTCTTCTGCCCTGTTAGCCTCTCTGGAAACACATGCATCGTGTTCTGCCATGCAGGCCGGCCCCTAGAACCCCAAAGCTTCGTGTCCTGTATAGGGCTATAATTATAATAATCCTCTTGGACACTTTCAGGCTGTTCCTGGGGGAGAAAACCTACTGAGCCTTAACCCAAACTGTACATCCTCTCTTGCTCTTTGAAATAATGCGTGATGGATGTGTGATAATCGTGGGTTGCACCTTCCTGCACCTTGTTCCCAAATACGTGCTGAACAAAGACTTGGAAAGGTGAATGTTTGTGTGTTATAGCAATGAATTCTTACGATCGCAGTGCTTGAGAGAGAGAATAGCTCTGTGATAGTATATAACTCAACAGGTTTAATTGTCGTCTTTTGATATGCTGTTAGTTAAATGTTGACTTATGGAGAATTTTTTCTGCAAACACTGAAGCCTGGCGCACTGTTGATGTAACCCACGGACAGATTATTTCCACTGCAGCAGGGATAAACGTGCTGAACGGCTGTTACTTAGCACCGCTCGTTAGTGCTCACGCCTATAAACTTGCCCGTAAAAGAGCAAGCAGGCCTTGACAGTGACTTGACTGAAATGCAAAACCTGGAATGTTGTCCCAAGCTGTGGATTTTGGCTCTTGGGGTGGAGTAGGAGATTTCCGAGTGAGAAAAAGGCCGTGACATTTGAAAATAAACCAGAAACTGATTGCCGTTGGGTTTAACAGGAGCAAGTGTTCTCCGCACGCCAGAATAGCGCTGGTAAATCCCGACGAAGGGAGCCTGTGCAGGGGGGATCATGCCTTCCTCACACCGTAGAGACAGGCTTTGTGGGGGCTCTTTCTGCTCCCCTGTTTGGGGAGCACAGCGAGGGCTGGCAGATCCATCGTCTGGTGATGAATCAGCTGAACTCGGGGCTGCTGGAACAAAGCTGGGACAGCCAAGGGAAGCTAGAGAATCTCCTCGAGGCTCTGAAGGTCAGGCAGACCTTTCTGTCCAAAGGACATGTTACTCTTCAGCCAAGCAAAGCATTTGGTACCCTAAAATATGGGAATTGCTCGTTGGCCTTTGCTCCCAGTGACTTAGGGGGCAAATTACAGGGGAGCAGCCTGTGCCCAGCACGTTTCCAAAGGGAAAAAAAGCACTTTGAAAAGATGGATCTCAGAGATGGTGTTAGGACTTCTGCTTTCAGCTGGTCTTGGGGAAAACATGACCTAAATTTTGGAGGTAGCACCTTTTGATTTTTGTCTGCTCATCTTAGAAGTGAGTTCTGAGGGACCCAATGGTTTAAAAATACTCTCTCTCTCTCTATGTGTGTGTATATATATATATATATATATATATGCATGTACACGTGCATGCTTATGTGTGTGCACACTTTTTGCTGGAGGGAAAATGGTAATTACAGTCTGGAAACTGAATCTGGCAATTTCTTTTCAAAGAACACCTAAATAACATGAGGTTTCAATCAATAGTGGCTTGTTAAAGCTTCTGCAAAAATCTGCTTTTAAGAAGTTAGGGCATTTAATCAAAACTTTGAGCTGTCTTCTACAAGAGATTTAATGAGGAGCTGATAAATGAGAAATGATGTAAAGAGAAGCCTTAAATACAGAAGGGATGATATGGTGAGTATGATTAGAGGGCAAGGTCTAATCAGCCAAATCGAGGGGACCCGATGACACTGCGTGCTCTGAAGTGGCTGTCGTCAGAGGAGGGCAGTTATCACTGTGACCAGGACAGCAGCGGAGGCTGCTTCAGGCTGGTGGTATTTTTTTATTACCATGCAGATAAGCGAAAGGGAAAGCTGTGGGGCAGAGCTGTTTCCAGTTAGTGAGTACTTGAGGTGGATCGTTGATGTTCCTTAGGTGTTTTATTCCAGCTTATTTTAGCAGTAAACTCTTCCCCTGTCATAGTAAAAACACAGCAGCCTTGCTCGCTTTCAGTACAATCCGGATTTACCCTCTTTGTGAGTCTCAGTTCTATTTTCTTTCCCCTTCAGGGAAAATTTGGATGGACAATGTCCACTGTAATGGCAAGGAGACCACCCTGGCAGCATGCACTTCCAATGGCTGGGGAGTAACTGACTGCAAACACACCGAAGACGTGGGAGTGGTCTGCAGTGAAAAGAGAATCCCTGGCTTCAAGTTTGACAACTCATTGCTTAACCAAATAGAGGTAAACGTACTTAAAACTGCACGCTGCTGATCAAGAGCCTTGCGCGGACGGGGTGTCTGCTGCTACACGTTATACGTTACCCCAGCTGCACGCCGAGGTTAAAGCAAACTCTTGACAGTGTTCCTAGGTATTGGCTAAAGATGCAACTTTCAGATTTCAATTTGAGGTGTTCAGAGCATTATATGTATAACAAGAATTTGAAAGTGTTTTTTAATAGCATAAGTAAGGAGAAAACATACTACTCCTGTTCTGCAGTCCATTTTCAAAATGGAAAACTGGTTTATTATATTTCTGAGAATGCATTTAGAGAGACAGGGGGTGTGTTGTACTCATAGACCTTACATCTGGGTGACTTTCTTGGTTCATAGTACTAAATTACTGGGTTTTCTTTCCGCTGATGCCTCACTCTTGGTACTGGGAGTAATTTGGAGGTCTCTGGTGTAACAGGGGGGTCAGCACGTAGGGTTGGATCTGGAGGTGAATAGGACTTGCGACCATGGCTTAAAGTGAGTGGGTTTATAGGTAAAGATATGAAGACATTTTTGCACAGTAACTTCATCACATTTGCTAAGCGATGATGAAGTAACCAACCATGATAAGTGTATGGAAATATTTGCGGGAATGGGGGATTAGTACTGGAAGCAATGAAAGGAATTGAAGAGAGGAAAACGTGGGCTGGTCATTGGGGAAATGTTCTGGATTGTGACTGGGTTAGGCTGCTATAGGCTGAGGCTGAGACTCTTGGGGAAATGACTGAAGCAAAATGTTTGAATCACCTTCCAGTGGACTGGTTAGATTTCTGTAGAATAAAGAGCTGGGGGAATGCTGGGCTGGAAAGAAGGTGGGCTGCGCAATTCGAAGGGAAAAAAAATAAAGTATGGGTTTGGTTGTTTATTTTTTCCTTCAGCTTTTCAGGTTGGAAAGTCTTTGTGGTGACTCGGCTAACATCTCCCTTGTTTTGGATGCTCTGGAGTTTCTCTATACAAATTCAGTGGTTGCCTTTGGTCAAAATCGATTGAAAGAGCCTCTCCAGTAACTACAGCTAAAGCTTATTTTAAGCAGGCAGGGAATCCAGGATATATCACGTATCACAGTGTGGTTTCCATGGCTGAATCTTGGCTTTGTCCATGAAACAATGGACGCAGCCTTCTTTATCGCTCTAACTGCTAGAATAATTTTGTTTTACTTCACAGGCAGTGATTTAGAAAGGGTCTCCCAGCATTTTCTTCTACCAGATTTTTCCATTGGAGGCTAATGCAGTGCAGCATATTCAACAAGGGAAGATAATATGCTCAGTCAAACCTTTCATTGCCCTGCTGAGGCTTTAGGAAGATCACTGTATGCGTGAGCAGGCAGCATTCAGCACTTGCCTGGAAGGCTCCCGTGCAAGGGTGCGGATGTGGGACACGAGAGCTGAAATTCTCTTCCTTTCCTTGACCTTGCTTCACGTGGGTATGGAGGGAAAGGCCTTTCTGGAGGGACCCCAAGCTGCCTCTGTCAATGGCACCGTTGTTGCTCGGGGAATGAGGCGAGATCATGGAACATCAGTAATGGCTTTGGCAGGCGCATGCTTCCCCAAAGCCACAGTGAATCCTCAAAACAGGGGCCTGGAAGAAAAGATGCTTTAGTCTAGACGGAGGTCACTTCTCTCCGAGATGCTTCAGATATTAATCATAAAAGCTTCGGGGGGCTCTGCTTTTCCATTAGCTAAGCACTGGCGCTTGACTAATGAGTTGAACACATGGGGTAATTGAGGGCTAGCTTGTGCTGATGCTGTGTGGGTGCTTCAGCTTCACATATGATAAGTAAAATGAATCATGACATGGAAGCAGTTTGTGGAGCAGAAGCCTGACTCATCGACAGGACCATTCAGGAGAAAAGAGGTGTAAGAGAAGTCGTGTTCCCCGTGTCCTGGCAGCTCTTGGGAGCTATCTGTGGGTGAAGGCATCCGCTGCCGTGACAAGTAACAGCATTCACAGCGGTTGCTATGGGGCACTGGTGGCTAAAGACGCTGAACTGGTGTGGGGAGGGGGAAGTAAAATAGAAGTATAGTTTAATTTTTAAGTACCTGCACTAAGCTGAGAGCTGTCAGCCTGGCTGTCCCTGTGACTTTGTCCAGGTGGTAGAAAATAGCGTTACATTTTCTGGGCAGAGGCTGCTGTCACCCCCGGCTCTGTGTGTCTGTGTGTGCCTGCTTCTCCCCACCCTATCACTGCTTAAATTTTATGAACAACTTAGTACCGTACTGCTGCTTCTACTCTGCAAAAGCAGGCTGGTTTTTCTTATATCCCAGTAAGGTCACTGGCAGCTGAGGGGTACTTTTTCTGCTGGTTTCATTGCAGCGGGATTAAGGCTAAAGGTGATGTGCTAGAAATTTTTAAAATGCCATTGTGGAAGTACTCTTCAGTCACAGCTAGCTGTCAAATGTTTAAACT